GAAAGAGAGATTAAATGCATTAAACACGCAAAGAAAATACAGCAAAGGCAGGAGATGAAACCAGAAGATATATGGTTAACACCTGAACCAGAAGAACACAACAGACTTTATTACCTCTTTATTGACGTGACTGAATAAACAAGAATGTAGCCATTGATGTCTATGGAGTACGTCTGAGGAAATATGGAGTATTCATCCTGTAGAAGGAATATTACATTTAAAATTACTTACTGCCACAGTTCAGAACTTGATGCTGGCAGATCACCACCAGGTAAGTTGCTCATACTTGTAAGACATGTCATGCAGGGCCATTTGGTATAGGCATACTTTCAGAATTAAGTTTTTTCATCATAATGTCAGATGTGGAATCTTTACCAAATTAAGAGAAAGCTGACTCAGACTGTATACACTAATCTACAGCTTTTTTGGCTTATTCCCTCTAAGACTATGGATTAGCTAAAGCTATTCCCAATCCTTTTATCCTGCTTAATTATCAGTTTGAATTAGTACAAAACATCCACTCTGTGCTACCACTAATTAGCAATTATGCCTCTTATCTTGCTGGTGATACGTTTCAGATTCCTAATTTCAACAGCTGACAACAGGATCTAGCAGTTCAGAATTTCAAGCAACACTGATCACATCTAAATTACCTAAGGGATCTGTTAGGAAGCGAGTAACTGTGGCTTACTAACTAATGCTTATCAACTACAAGATGCAAGAAATACAGTTATTAGTTGCTTTATGACTGCTAGAAGTTTACATGACAAGTGTTTAATTAAAAAACCCAAACAAAACACCACAAACAATCACTGAATATATTACCTCAGTAGGAAAGGAAATGATTAAATAGGCAAATGAAACAGACTGATGTACTGCAGGTAATACAACAGAAATACTATGACTCCCATACTGAAAACCTAAATTGTTCTGATACATATTCCCAGGAAACATTTCCATTTTGACAAGAGCCGTACTTCTTAATATGCAAGTTCTCAAATTTTTCAACCTATGCTTAAAATGTTAATTTTGGCTTAAGATGACAAAACCTCTCTGTGCAACACAATCACACAGCTTAGATCTCAACAGCCAAAAGGAATCATACTTCCCTAACTGGTAAATGAAGAGAAACCCTCTATAAATCAATTTCAGCCAAAAAAAGTCTGAAAGAATATTCAAAAGACACCCTTTTCTGCCTTTACTGGTACACACTGAGGGCCAAACTGCCACTTCAGTTGGCTGTGTAATTGCAAAGTCAATACAGAAGGATATGAGTTAGCCTGCATGTAAAACAGATGAAAGTGCAACTCTGTAGTTGTTTGACTTTACCCAGAATTTCTCAGGATTGCCCCAGCTGGAATTTGGTGTTAGGTAATATTTCCTTTTGCACTCTTCTTCTGTGATCCTGTACCAAGACTCCTGTTTAACTGAACTACATAAACCGGATAACCATGAAAGGTAAAGAGACACAGGACCGAGGAGGAGTACCAAGAAAGAAAGTGCCATAGCTTCAACTGTTTCCAATTCATTAATTCTTTTAGCTTGTTAGGAGAAGGCAGAAAAGCTGCTATGCTTCCTGGAACTTGTGGATCAAAAAGAACTTTACCACGAGATAAAACAATGCAGCTATAACTTTTTAAGTCATAGCCAAGTTTTCAAGTATGTAACCTACAATATAATCCTTACTATGCTGTATACGCATGCGGACTCCCTATGGATCATTAAGCAAGACAGACTTGAGACAGAAATCTGTCCAAGCCACGCCTTCCGTAACCCAACATCATCTCTCTCCTCTGACCCTGGGAGCCAGAACACAAAAGTTCAAGTTCTTCCTAGGAAGGATCAAATCTGAAAATAACCACAGGCTGGGAAAGAAGTTATTTTGGTCTTACAATACTATATGACATTAAAATCAACCCTGAAAATAAACCTCAGCAACGGAGCTACATTGCTGATAAAAGTCGCACTGCCTTCCCAGTAGGCCATTTCTTCCTCAGAGGGAAATCTTACTTCTATCACTGCACTACAATTGGAGATGTAAGACAAGCATACCTACATTGGCACAAAGCGGAACCTATGGAGCCTGCTCTGCTGCTCAGGCTTTTTAGCCTCTCCATCTCTCAACCTCATTCTCCTATGCAGAATATTCCCCATCAAACAATCTTGTCCCAGAACATGTGGCCAGCATTGTGTTTCTAATCACTTCAAACACATCTGACAAAATTATCAGTGGGTGCAGCGTTGCTGACTAGCACCACAAGCTGACACCATATAAATACAGCATGGTTATTCTTAAGTTACGTAGCTCTCTTCAAAGAAAGCAATGAAACATACCTAGAAGGTTACAACTCTTCTGAATAGTCTCCCAGCTATGAGTAAGTGTCCTGCAGCTCTAAAGTCTTAAGTATTGGCAACACATTTTGCAACACTGACATTGTTTAACATTACTCATACTTTGGAAAAAACCAAAGGCATAGTACCAGAAATCATGGAAGGTAAGCAATAAAAACTTTAGGACAAAAACACAGGAGGTTAACAGTCCCTGATGGTTTTTCCCTAATACAGTCTTTTACAAGATGGAGCCAAGCAGCGATGTATCATGAACACTTGTATTTCACGAATCTCCAGGACACGCGTTCGCTGTCTCCTCCTGTGCTCCCTCTTGTTACGTGAAGGCTCAGACGCACACATGAACCACCACGTAAAAATGTAAACAAACTGCAGTAGTTTATTGGTAGCCCGCTAAGTACCACGTATGTGCATTTCTGTCTACTCCCCATGACTGTTCCATGGATACAAACCACACTGGTGTAGCTGGAGTACACAAACAGGAAAAAGTCATGAAGATCGTCTCCAGTTTACTGAAGTAACATTTTCCATCTAAAGCAAGACTGCTAATTTAGCCCATAAATATCAAGCAAGCTACTAATGAACTTTTGGTATATCGGAGTTAAGGCAATTCCTTCTTCACCTTTTTAGACATTAGTTCAATAGACAGGGAAAAAAAACCAACCCACAAATAAACCCCAAAAATTCTTTAAATAAACACTACAGAAACATTGCTCTTTAGTGACTAAATGACAAGGCAGCATCATTTACATTAACCTTCACTTCTGAATGCATGGTCGCTACCAACTTAGCTCTACAGAAGCATGAGTACCTGTTGTCTTAACTCCAATGAAAGATTCAAGGAAAGAAAGATAACTTACTTGGCCAGCAGTGTCAACCAGCTGAAGATGATATTCTTGGCCATTTACTGTGATCAGTTTTGTAAAAGCTAGAACAAACAAGAAATACATAAACATGTCAGAATTACACGAGGAAGGGATGAGAAGTCACTCATCTATGCCATCGTCAGCCAAGGCACTATGAAAAAAGAGCTTTAGTTACAGGTTTTAAAGTAGCAATAAAAGGCTAAATCAGGTGGCTGTACAATTAAACTAGTGGATTGCAGACAATGAAGCTCAGAAACATACTTTAAAATTCCAAATTTCAGAAGATTCTCACATTGGATGTAGCAGTTTCTCCTTTACTTAAAAGGGAAAAATATAAAGGGTTTTTACATGCATTTCGAAGAGACTTCCAGGCAATGATAATTTGTTGTAACACAAGACACTGAAATACAATTAGCACCAAAGTTAAGTTTGAACTTATTATAGTATATGTTCCCTGGTTTCCAAGCAGTTCAGCAAGATCAATTTCCTAAATGTAAATACCGTGAGGTAAATGATCTGGATTAAAAAAGTATATATATGAATCTTCCAGGGCTAAAACATACGGAGCCTAACTTATGAATATACTAAACCTAAATAATTAGCTAGAAGATCACCGTGTTGCTTACACATATCCTGTAGCTACCAACCAGCCTATATAGTCCTCAGTCAGGAAGTACATTCAGTCCCTAAAGTGATGAGAATTGCTTCTCTTCCTTGGATTCATGAAACGCCAACACACTGCGAGCTGAGGAACCTTACTCAGTGTTTGTATTATGCAACTGCAAAAGCAAACAGTGTCACAGCTCTTGTAGGAATAATGTACTACTGAGCACTACATGTACCAACCAGAGCACGCAAACCTGGCTTCAGAACTTCACTCTGGCCTTAGTGTTGCACTTAAGGCACAATTACTGGACAGTACTGAAATACCGGGTACAGTTTGTGTTATCCCCTGTTTGAGGTGGTTTTCCCCAAATACTAACAGTCCTAAGAAGTTCCATCTTTCACTGCAGCGATGAGCACGGAGATTGCTAACATTGCAGTGACCTGTTCAGCATACTCCAAGTTGCCCAACAACTTCCCAAAGCTGCAAAGCTAAATGTTCTCAACCCCGCTGCGCAGTCTCCTGCCTACGCCTTCTGCGTCTTGTACAGGGTCTCCTAGAAGCTGATGTTCAAGAACTTTCCTCCTCCCTGCCAATGCTCATTGCCCTGTCAAGTCTCCACAATGTGAGTATTATTTTGAGTAAGTAGGCTGAAATAGCTGAAACTGGAGGTTTCAACCCACATAGTGAATCAAAGCACTCTTTTTTAAAAAAGGAGCAATTCAAACAGCAAAGCCAAACTAACACAGAATGTCTAAACAAACAGTGTAAAGCGCACCTATAGTTTCCACTATAACACTGACAACTGCAATTTGAAATGGAGCCTCAATGTAAGAGCTCCTACCTTACCCTGTCTATCCCTCCTAAAAGCTACTTTAGCACACATGCATGTGAGCTGCTCTCAAGTCTCCATGTGGACACAGTTGTCATCGCTGCACCAAATTTTAAGGTTATGAAGCAAGAACCCGCAACAGCTCTTTACCTTTTGGATGAATACTGTGGTGAGGACAGAAGTAACCATCTGTTTGAACGGGTGTTAACACACAGCATTGCTATATACGCTATCACTGCTTCAAGAAAACAGATTCATCCGGAGGCATACTGCACTAACAGGTATATTAAAAGTAACACTCTCTTGACACTTCACACTACACATCAAAGCACTCTGCAATCCAAGTGGCTTCAAGAGCCTCATGAAGTTAATATTTAAAAAGGGACAGACGGCAGCTTTTTCGGACTACTCTAGAAGCCTAAAATAGACCCGGTAAAGACATCACCATCAATCGGTTCTGGAAGCGGAATGTGACAGAGCCAGCGGAAGGGAAGCAGTGGAGGAGTCACCACAGACTGGGTGAGAAGAACTGTTAGTTCAATGCAGAGGCTTGCAGCACTAGGAATAGCCCACTGCAAGAACCCAAATCTGCTTTGATGCAGTCGTAATTAATGACTCGCATGTCTTTGCTGAAGCTTTTAAAAAATATTCCTGGTAAGAATTTAATCTTGGGAAAAACATATAGCTCTATTAAAGATGATTTGTGATCCACAGGTCTCCTTCCAGAGGAAGTCTTCGCTTCCAATTCTATCGCTCACCATCCTGGGACGCACTGCATTCTGCTGTGCTGGCAATAATGCCATCACTGCACAGTATGGCTCTTCCCAGTGTACCAAGGACAGATTTCAGCAGACCGAAACAACCTCTGCAGTCCCAGTCATGATGTAAGCATCCTGCAGAATGTCACTCATGAACGTGGGTAAAGCCCGTTTTAAGTTCCACAAAGCACAGAAATCTCAGACAGGACATGCAATGCATCACTCGAGTGTATGAAGAAAACTGTAATCCCCACCTTCACCTACAATTGTTTCCTGCATCTGATGCTTTGCTGAAACTTGGAGAATTTGGTGCTGCAGTGAACAGCACAGCACCAAACAGATGTATTTCTACAGTTGAGAGTGCAGCAGTCAACAGCTGCATCGCAAAGAAACTAAAGCCACTTTGCCATCAGAGAAAGTTCTGGTAAAACTGCATGCAGAGCGCAGCCCTGAATGTTGCTACAGCTCAGCAGAACTGCAACTTATACAGCAACTCCACCAGCTGCTAATCATTGTTACCCTAAGATCACGTATATTTCAATTAGACTAATATGAATTAAACTATTTGTATATGCAACTCAATGACAGCTGCTGTGAAAACCAGCCACTATGGTAAAAAAACCCCATGTACAGACATACGTATGCAAGCTTTTAGAACAATAGTGCTGCTGAGCAAAGGTACAAGAATTGTGTAGCATTATTCCCATAATGCTACTGCCTGGTAGCTAAATGCAACTGCCTCGTAGCTAAATGCAACTGCCTCATACGGGTTCCTTGGTTACTACCTTCCGCATTTTCTACTTGGGTCTTCATCCCAAAGTCAATGCGTGCCACTAATCTTTCAGGACATCTTTTACAACACTGAGATGTGTAATGCAATAGAGCTATTTTTTATTTTTCTCAGAAGCCTCATTTCCACCCCTTGAGAAGGCTGCTTATCAGCAGCTCCTGGGAAGAAGTATACTTAAACCCTTCCAGTGCAGCTGCCATGACATATGGGGAAGAAGCTCAACCTTAAAGATGCTTCTAGCAGACCCATCTAAACCTACAGGTATTCCTCTCCATAACTACCAGGGTTCCTCCAGCCACCTTCCCCTTTCTAATGTTTCCACTCTCAATTGTATTAAAAAAACATGTGATGGAGGCAGCCCTCGGGGGAAGGCTGTTCTTTTCCTTAGGGAGCTACTGAGCCTGCTCAGAGCAGAAAGGATGACCACAGAGCTGCGGCACAGTGCTAGAAGCCTGTCTGAAACTACAAAGAAAAGCAGAAAGCAGCCAGGCAGGCCACAGAGGAGCTGAAGAAAACATTTCTGAGACTTGCGCAGTCAAGTCAGCTTTTCTGCAACACGAAATCACTGAACTAATGATAACCAAAGACATCCCTACTAAGGATAGCAGAGCTTTGGGTAGAGTCATGAGCACATCTTCCTTCTGACCTATTTGCTTTGAGTTCCAAATACAGATTCTCATTTTTATTCCAGTAAAATTTTTGAGTTTTAATTGTTCTGGTTTTAGCTTATCTGAGCTAATCTGCCTTCAGAGCCCCACCCAGCACCATGATCTTCCTTTTCTTTCCAACACCCCACAAAATGATTGTTCCAAAAGTTTCTCAATACAGCTGTTTCAAGAACAGCCACCCATCATGGTGTCACTCCTATTGGGACACTCAGAAAGGGAAAATTTATTTTGCCAAACAGTTAACTCTCGCCACGACTGCTGCCACAAAACACTACATGTTTTGTAGATATGCAGGTTTAGGAGAAGCAACTGAATTCAACATGCTTGTTGACTTAAATAAACTAACTTTTCTGGTTCTCATGTAATAGAAGCAAAGGAAAAGAAAATACAGCAGTGAAGCAGTGTTGGCTTCAACAAGCACTAAGTGAAATCTGATGCAGCTTATTTTGTCTTTACCAGGTTCCAAGAAGGTAGAGATTTTCACATTGAAAAAATGAAACTACTAGAATATTAGGTCTTATTCCTATGATTCAAGGCTTATATGCTATGCAACTTGTTCCTGTAAGAGCTTAACTATAGCTTGCCTTTTATACAATTTAGCTTTACACTGCATTTTTTGTGCAAGTTTCATTATAAGACCAAAATTATACAGATGAAGCTATCAGCAGTACTGCAGCTTTCAACCCTTTCATTAGTGCTAGGCGAATACTGTAATAAATTATCAGTAACAATTTTCTGGAGACAAAACAGAAATCACATAGGCCAGCCTATTCTTTAGCCTGCGCTTTTTTCATTTCCAAGTTCTGCGAAACTAAAGTGGACCAAATCACTAGATGAAACTGACAAGGTTTTATAACTTGCTACAAAGCACTGGAAAAATGCAATATTCTCCACACTGCCCCTAGTATAGGAACTTGGACTTCTCAACCCCTTCTGCCAGCACTGGCATTCCAGATTTGAAATTACAAGCTAGGAAAACAATAGAAGAGTTGATTACATACTCTGTGTCTTATGACCCTGCATAGAATCAGAAACACAGAGCTTGGAGCACCAAAAGATTGGACTGATCAAAGATTTGTGTTTAGCAGAACATTTAAAAAAGATTAAGAACTGAAGACAAAAGAATGATTTTATACTAATCCACCAAAACTAGTTTCACATGTCTTTCTTAACAAAGATACTTTCAATGTATTTTAAATGTTAAATGTGTTATCCCTTCAGTTCTTCACCGAAGCATTTTTAAAACATTCCATGAGGCCTTCCAGGGCTTAAAGATGTGACAGACTTCCTATTGTTTTGAACTTCAGGTCACATCTTTTATGTTTTCAACCCTTACTTCCCAGCAACATGCTCTGATGCAAGAAGGGCCCTGAAATTGTCTACCTTTCAGAAAACAAGTATTTCCAGCCACATCGCAGATCAACAAGACTTTCACCAAAAGGAGTATTGCTGTTTTCCAAACAAATAAGAAACCAAGTGAAGATTTAAACCTTTCCAATGTGCTCCTGCCCAAAGTTTTCACGATCATGACATGCTCAATGTTTAGAATTTAATTTACACCAAGCAAGCAGTGCAGACTACAAGAATCAAGTAAGAGCAGAGTTTATCCAGGGTATGTTTTCATACAGTTAAGAAATGCTACCAATGAGAGACATACAACTACAGAGTTACTAACAGCAGTTACAAACAATAGGTTTCTGTGGACAACAAGAGCTACTAAAGGATGAAACAAGACAATCTTGTATGAAGGCATCAAAATGCTAAAATCAAGGTGTAAACATCCTTAAGTGTTAATATTAATGCCATCCATACAAGGACTAACGGATCATTCAGGTCAAAGGGCAAATTATCCACCCTGACTCCTAAAGCAAAATCACAGCTTCTCAAAAAGTAGCATCTGAATTTTAGTTCTAAGCATTAAAATAAACCTGAGAAAAATATATCCTCATAGCTAGTGATTTGTAATTATTACCATATATATGCAAAAGAAACCTTGTTCTGCTGATTCCTTCATTCAAACTTCCAGAGTATCACAGAGGCGTAACATCCTATTGCACAATTTTGAAACAGTCAAAAAACATGTGCTACCACTGCATTTCAAAAGTCATTACAATACAAGAACTCCAGGGTTACTATCACAAAAATCAAAGTTTTATGAGTCACATGATTAAACTGAGCCAATAGGATCGAGTTACTCAGGCTAGCACCACAGTTACTCAGGTACTTTATGACCACTGCTAGTTCAGAAAGAGCTGGTTGGATTGTAACGAATACCGGGTAACTCACCTCTGAAGTGACTTGTTGCTCTTGGCAGCATTTTTAGTACCTTTACTCACCTGCTATGCTAGCTATTCACAAGGACACCAATATTAAAAAAACTGCTAAGAGAAAAGACACTAAGAATTCAGTTACCCAGTATCTGCAGCAAGCTGCTTGTGTATCAGACTTGTTATCAAGTATCTGTGAGTAACTTAAAGGATTGTCATGTTATCATGGACACACCATGTCTACCTTCTAAAGTAGTCGTTTAGTCCTGACTGCTATTGCTGGCTTTGTGTTCATCTGGATGCACTAATCAAATGAGATATTTGAGACTTTGTATATATAGTGGCACATTTCAATAGAAGTATAACACACTTAATTTGACATGCCCTGACTATATTAGGGGAAGCAGATGTCCAGCAAGATACATAAAATACAAGAAGGAGATGCATTTTAGCCAGATTGATTAGGTTTTCCTTCATTTAGCACTGAAAGACAGTTTAGCTGTTTGGAGAAATATGTACACAGCCATTTCCACACTGCAGTGCTGTCAGCTTGGTCAGCACTGGTTTAAAAGAGTAATCAAACTTGACAGTTAATTAATGAGCTTTAATGTTAACATGTAAATGCCCACATAAGTAATATGTATAACCACAATGGCTTCTGATAAAAGTTAGCTGGGTACAGAAGAGCAGCTTGTCAGTTATTTACTTACTGTTCTCTATGGTTGGATCATACGAATCAACAAACTGTCCTTCCACAAACTGAATCGTCAGTGAAGATTTTCCTGTAAAGCAAGGAAAAGATAATCTGTATTTAAACAAGCCTTCAGGCTGTTACCACTTTACACTTATTAGTAGATATACTGTTTTTATAAGAGCACATATGAGACTTGTATGGTTCATTTAAACTATCTATACATGACAGCTGACCTATTTTTAAATTAAGTGCCTATTCCTAGTAACTGGGTCTCCTGAACGTATAAAAATATAGTGCAAAAGCTACTCGGCATGTGTTCAGCTTTTGTTTTAACATAGCATAATTTAAACGCCTCCTTCAGTTTAGAACGAATCTAAAAGTAGCAGTGTCCAATCCTCATAAAGCTAAATTTAACAAACTGCTATACTTGGAAGGTTTTTCTGTCAAGAAGCAAGGAAGCTAGAAATAATTTTCAGGCATTGCAGAGAAAACTGGGAGCTTGGACAGAATTAGCCAGATTTGGTTTGACTAGGACATTGGACATACTTCCCATGACAAAAGGATGATCTCAAAATTCTTGAGATCAGTATACTCTCCTATTAATCCTTTTAATACAGCATCCACCAGTCTGTTGTAAGGTGGCATTTTAAGTACACTGATTGAGGGGGCATTTTTTGCTTTTGAAAACCAGTTAAACTGCTACTTTTGCAGACAATGTTTCCAAGTTCAGTTATGCTGATCTGGTCACACACCCCCCAGTAAAGAGTAATGTAAATTGTTGCACTTAGTAGCAGACTGAAAGAAAAAAAAACAAACACCAAAACTAATTTAGTTGTGGGAGACTTTACAAGATGGGTAAAAGGAAATCATAGACACTGACCATAAAGAGCACCTTTAAAGCTCTGCAACTGAAGACTTTTCAAATCATTACTGAAGTCTTAACACAATTTCCGTTACAGCACATCATCTACATTTGGGAATCTACTAGATCCTATTACATTATGTTTACTGGACAAATACACTCTTAGAAAGACTGCCAAGTGCATTAGCTGCTTCTGGACATAAGCATATCCTTCATGTTCTTCTCATTGGCAAGAAGGACAAACAAAATACGACCTCAAGTTAATTCAGACTCAAGACCACCCTACTCAGTGGAAGCCTTTCAATGACATCCTAAGTAACCAGTGTTGTGGTTGAACTATATAGCAAACTATTTTCAAGAATTAATTGCTTTGGATAAAGACTGCCCACTTGCAGTGCTCAGACAATGCTATGTTCATCCCTTGCTGTAGAAGAAGTTAGTTCATAAACATTCCTTCAGGAGATATTAAACAATTTTCCACTTTAACCCCCCATTCTTGCTTCATCATACAAGGCTCTTGACCTGTTCACATTTGATTATTAGCAGCATACTTAGCAAGTCATTGTTAAAACCATTCTAAAATATTGCAAGTCAGACAAAATACAAGCATGAAAGTGATGCAAGGAAAGTTTGGCTTAATATTTATAACAACACATGCAGCCAATTCCATCATTAACTGCAACACTTCCAAGACTTACTTCTCCAGAAGGAAGCATCTTCATTTGTGGATTTTCTAACAGCCATAATCTACATCAACAAACTGCCTGGTTTATTTTAACATCATTGCCCAGCTCTTCCATGCCTACCCCTTTGCCATCTCCCATCCATCATGCCAGTTTACTCAAGATACAATGCTAAAAAATCCCAAAACCACCCCCAAAAGACCAACCAGCACACAAGCTTGTAAAAGTTGCTTTTTCTCAAATCAAATTCTTAAGACGCCATTTTCTGATATATGTAACAGTTCGACTAAAGGTGCCATACTCACTGTGCTTGAGTTTACAGAGAACATTGCACTTCAAACTGTTGCTCCAGCAAAGAAGGAGGGAGGGGGGGAAGAAGCACCACCCACATCCAAAATCATCCTAATAAGGACAGACATAGAACTGAGACTATGTTGCCATCAGCTTTATGAAACTGTGTGTTTTGGACACCGCTTAGAGCCTGAATGAACTTCCAAGCTACTTCTTCAGCTGTAAGCTCATGAAGTTGCTATCCAGAGTTCATGCTTCCAGATTCTTTGCCAATACCAGCACATTAAGCACTCAATTTTGAAACAAAGTTAACTATTCCTATATTAGGCTGTTACATCTTTAAGGTAAGAGCAGCTAAGTTCAGCAGAGATCATGACTGAACATTTTTCCGCCGAAGAATCCTAAACTAACCAAAAAACTTGACTGCTACTGTCTGTGTGTGCTAAGTCTGGAAACTGAATACTAGCAAGAAGTCAGAGCCAACAGAAAATGCTGCATTTAACATCCAGCTGTATTAATTACTGCTTTCCTCCTAACAGTGAAAGAGGAGGAAACAAAAACAGACAAAACCAGTGTTCCAACACTCTCCTCCTAAATTCCTCCAAGCTTTGCAACAAGCTTTCCAGTAATGATGTGTTTGTGAACACAGGAGGATGCCTGCTTTCCTAGATGAGCCACAAGGAAGCTCTCCAGTCTTGGATTCAGCCACATACCCCCCTTGGGATAAGGCCATGCAACAGTATCCCACCAAACCAAGGCTTCCAAAGGGGACACAAGAAATTTAAAACCCAAGTCATTAATTCCCACTGCCTTGTCTCAACCCATGCTCAAGAAGCACGCAGGACCATGTAAACAACAGCTTGGCTTGAACTTTGCTCCACAGGTTTTATTCCAGGCCTTTGACCTACGCTGGTAGACAGAGAGGAAAATTAAGCTGACAATTTAGCTCTTATCACCTCTTTCCCCAGAAAGATCGGGCAACATGTTCAGGGAGAATTACAACAAAAACATAACATCCACAAGACAAGGGCCAAGGAGCGGCACGCAACTGGATTTGCTGATGTGCTAACTGCATCTCAGAGCACTGCAGGGAGGAGGAGATGCTGCAGTCTAGATGTGCACACTTCAGTCTAAAAGGATGAGAGAGCCGGCACACCTGCAGCAAAGACTTGATTAATCAATTACTCAAGGGTTCATAACTCAAAAAAGGCTGAGCTCTAATATGCTCTCATTTGGAATAAATGCCAAATGTTTTTTAGTTTGCTAAGCTTTTCCTTGTAGCATCCTCCATGCCGGTATTTTTAGTGTATCCACTCTCCTTAAGTTTTCGGAAAATAAACATTAAGACCAAAAGGAGAAATGTCATGAGCAAAAGCAAGGCAAAGTCTGCTGGAACTGGTCCACTGAACTGATGGAAACCTGTGATTTTAAGATGAAAAAGCATTTCTGAAATCTTACTGGAAAAGATTATGGTTTAACCTTTTCACTCCGTTTAGAATCGGAGAGCTTAAATTGACTAGGAAGAAATAAATGAATCAAATAAGGGCAACACTGGGACAGGGCAGTAGGATGAGTCCCTCCAGCTATACTTGCTATGGTAACTCAAAGCATCAGATACTCTGTGGCACAGGAGTTGCAAGCAAAATCCTCCAAGATTACTGACTCTTCCTCTCCCTGGAGGAATAAGACAGAAGGTAAGGGCTGGGAGGAATGCGTTGCACAATGTTTAGAATACAAGTCCCAGGTGGTTGAAAGCTCAACTCAAGTTGTCCAGAAGTACCCAAATGGTATTTGCTTACACAATTTCTTATTTATCATATTACGTGGGAGTGGTAAAGAAAAGAGTTTTACATTGTCAAAACACAAAAGGAACAGGTTTTCAGACGGAAAGCCACTTCAAAACCGAAAGCTGTCATACTTCTGTTATACAATAGACCACTTGCTACATAAAACGGAACGTCCCATAAACACTCTGACTAGTGCAATCATAGCACGTCGGTTTCAAATGCCATTGTGATTGTCAAGGCAAAACAATCGCCAAATTAAGTTTTTACTCATCCTTTTACTTCTTGGACAAGAGCTGTGGTATTTCATCTAGCCTTAAAATTCAAGTTTTACAACACCAGGCAGTTTACCAAGAAGATGAGTAACTGCACATGGGTGGGCTCATGCACAGCTTGCCTCCCTGAAGAGCACATGCCCTCGCTTCGATGCCCCACTACCTGCCTGCTGTCCCCACCCCACGCTCTTATTCTCCTTGCAGTAGGTAGAGGGAAAGCCCAGATAAAATTCTATCTGCAGCCAACTTCGCCCCAACCCCAGGAGATAGAAATGATGCAACTGGCCAGCAAGCAAGTCAAACAACAGCTCCACAAGCAAAGCATTGTGCAAGCTCGATTCTGCAGCTGCCCTCTAACGTGGCATCTCCACGATGACAGCCACTGGCAGCACACAGAAGTTTATCTCAACAGGAAGGATTTCTCAATACTCAAAATCACCCGCACCAGCGATTGGTAAACAGTCTGACGGGGTCAAGAATAACAACTACTGAAGGGTTGCAGTTCTCCATTCTGTTAGAATTTTAGATGCAGAGTTTCTTTAACCCATCTTTTTCTATTAAAAAAACCCTGACACATTTATGAACTGTGCTTAATTATAGAACACTTTAACAGCTGGCAGCATCTAATACACTCCTACCACAAGCCTAGCATCTTACCTAAGTTAGTCTCTACCTAGATCTACTCAGTTATCAATAGGACGGATTAGTTTAGGTTTTGTACCAAAAGGGTTCAAGAAATTTCATAATGAAATGCTGTCAGTCATATCAAATTAGATCAGACTTACTGCATACCCAACTTTCAGTATCTCACAAACAGCTACGCTCAAATTACTACACTTCACAGAGATGAAGTTTTCACACTGAAAGTTACACTCAATTTAACTTCAACATTGGTATCCTTATCCTCGTTAATTCAGAATACCAAGATGCAGAAAATGGAGACACCAGTACTTCCAGTGAAGATTAACTATTCACCCTCAGAGCACAGAAAGGATCTTGGCAACTTCTTGGAGCAGATGGAGGGTAAAGGAACTACAGCATCACTCTTCAACTCAACATCTTTTCACATGATAGTAGATAATCTCAGAACCCATCACTAGCTCATCATTCATCTCAGGCTTCATCATCAACAACTTTCTGTGATTAGTTAGGATTCTCCCTTATCTCCCCGCCAGGTACTCATTATGGCTATGTAGTTGCTAGTTTGCTGACCGTTGCTACACAGTTTAGTGAATTACTCTAACAACTATAAAAATGATACATCTGGGTCAACAAAGAATTCTGTTTCTAAACCCCTAGAGACAGTGATACAATGCGTAGTTTGTGTTTTACTCAGATGCCATTTAATTCTACTATTAGACTTCTAATCATGAGGAATTACCACATATAAGTACCTACTTTGAGCCGTAGTTTTATCTACTTTGTAGTGATTTTCTTGTGACATCAACATGTCCAGTATGAGGATACCAGAATAAAAAATGATGCTGCCACAGAAAACTTCTGCTGACATACAGAGCTCAACTGGTGCCCTTGCTCTTATGATTCCTATGCTTGATTTGCAACGCACTCCTCTGTCAAAGTGCTGTCTGAGCTTTCTGAATGACAGACTGAAGGATCTGCTCTTATAGTCCTGTAAGAGAGAACGTCTGAGGAATTTGATGCGATATCTTTTGGTAATGTAACGAGGGACCTCAAGAACAGAAGAGACCTTAGTGACAAACCAAAAAGCAGATCACCATTTCAGAACAACACAAGCTCTTTTTCAACTTCTGTGGCTCTCTATCCCACTGCTGTAACTGTCCCCTACCTTCTCCTTATCTACTACTATATTAGGATATAAGGAAATGTATTTGACAGTCTAAGGCAAGGTACTGTAGCACGAACCACTTCTGCTGTAGAGGAGGAGGTTCACATGATGGTAACATCAAGAACACAAGCCTGCAGGGAGAAAAGAACGCATGCTTGTTTCCCTTCCTTCTGCATTGCACAATCATCTTGAGGTTTATCAAAGGTATTCCTCTGCAAGCCAGAAGAAATCTGAGAGGCAGTCATTTAGAAAGGAAGTCAGATGGCTTCCTTTATTTTCTTCAGATTTCAAAGCAGTTGGTCAAACTCACAAACATATTTGTAGGCCCTTGCTAGGTTGTCAGTGATGAGTGCTCAAAACACAAACCAAGAGTCCTAATATTGCTATCTAAATCATGTTTTCTGCAAGGAAATCAAGAGAAGAGTGTGTGCTTTATTCCCCAATATGTAACAACAAGCTTGCTCCATCCTGCAAGCAGCTATCATCCCTCAACATTCACTTACACTTCATTGCAATGTGTTAGATGTCCAGGCAAGTAAGTAGAGAAAAATTACATTGCTGTCCTGCAACAGCTTAGTTGCCACTTCCAGGTGCCTGTTTTGCCTCCATTTAAGTAAGTAACCTCAGCAAAGGATTGCCAGAAGAAATGTTTTAGTTATTTTACTGCACAGTCAAGCTACATCTGCTTGTTATCCTTGCTGGCAGAAAAACAGTGCCACAGTTTGCCTGGTATTTCTCTTCTAATAAGGGAAAGCAATTTTAATTTTACACATTTACTATCAGTTATCAAAGATGGAACAGCCATCACAAGGCTTAAAAAAATTCCAGTAAATTTCTATGGCACATATCTCACCTGGCCATGGTACGCACACATAGGTGATTGCATCCAAGGTGCTTTAAACCAGTCAGGGGAACTGCATCCTGGGGTCTCCTAACTACGAAGGAAATTAAGACATTCATATCCCAGACAGTCAACCAATATTTACTCAAAGATCACCCTCTGTGTTCCCTTCAGACTTCCTGCAGAAGCTGTGCACCCCTACAGCACCTTCCCACCTTTCTCCCCACAGCACCATGCCTGAAATATTTCAGGTGGTGGTAGAAATTGAGAGGCAACTTGACTCTGCTGCTAGCCTAATTATCAAATGTATTTCTAAACTAGAAGTTAGGCAGTACAACTTCATATGCTGCATTTCTGTCCTGGTTTCAGCTGGCATAATTTTCTTCCTAATAGCTGGTACAGTGCTGTACTTTGAGTTTAGGATAAGAATAATGTGGATGACACACTGATATTTTACTTGATGCTGAACAATGCTTACACTAAATCAAGGACTTTATAGCTTCTCATGCCCTGCCAGCGATGAGACTGGCAGGGGGGGGCGAAGTGGGGGGGGGGC